TATTTGATTTTTTCATTTACGTCTAAAATAGCTCAAGCAAACTTTAGTATCATTTACACCAGTAAAATATTCCAAGGTAAAAACAATCCCAAGTCTTTGTCTCTTTTCTTTTTTTTTTTTTTGAGAGGGCAATTTTTTTGTGCATACTTGTAATAATTTGCTGTAAATTCTAAAATTAAGTGGATCAGAGGCTGCCAGTCTGTTTTCATTAAAACATTTAATTTCTATGCAATAAGGCCCAAATCCCAAGCCCACTGAAATGAATTACAGAACTTCCAGCTGCTTCCAGTAAACTAAGATTCAATCCTAAATCAACGTTGCAAAGCTCTGTTGCATTAAATGAGATTGCCTTCTCATAGGCATATCTCTATATATAGATATAGATATAAGAACTCCTCACCATGAATCACTTATGTGTATGCAAGGTGGATATATCCTGCACAGAGAAAAACACATGAATGTCCATTCTTGTCTGCAGGAATGGTATGGACACAGGTACAGGTATATGAGCATGTCTGCCCTGGCACACCTGTATGTAAGGACATACATGTTCTTATACACACATACAGGCAAATACATATTCAGATATTCCCTACTAGTACACAAAACTGTGGGCCTGGCTACACAGAGATGGACACATTCAGTACTTTTTGTCTGTCAGAATGTTTGTTATAACATACCTCAGAAGGTACGTTTTTTTAAACTGGTTCCCATCTTCCTAGATTCATCTGTGCTTTCTCAGGTTGTTCTTTAATCCATACAAGCCCCCTGAATTCTCACATTTTGATACAATTAAACAAATCAACACAGAATGGCTTTCCTCTTCTGGTAGGACTTGGTAGGATTTGGTAGGCCAAGGGGGGAAAAAAAAGAAAAAAAAAAATACAAGGGAAAATGGGCTTGTTTTCTAAAAGTGAGGAGATTGCAATAAAAAAAAAGATATGAGCAAATCATCTCAGATGATGATTCATGGTCACATTTCTCAGTATCTTGTAAAAAAAAATATTTATAATTTCTGATCTCTGTAGATTTCCAGCACTTCTAGCATCCATCGGTTTATCTTTTACCCTTCTACCTATTTCCTTCCTGCATTATTTTCCTTGAAGCTTTCAACTCCAGTAAATCCCTGCCTTTTAAACTATAAGAGAGAAACGAGCCCCACTCAGAGCAGCTACAGATAAGCATAAAGGTCTCTGGGATTCAGAATCCAATTAGGTAAAATCAGGGTTTGCAGGAAGGTTGCCTCTTGTGATGCAAAAAGCCTTAGGAGTGTGCCCTCTCGTGGCCGTTCTTTATTCAGCAGGAATACTTGTACCCTCAAATATAATCACTTTCAAAAGAAAATTGTTGAAATTATCCAAAATACATAAGCAATAAATCCTTTGGGTTTTTTTCCTCCTGAACTTCAGCTTGGTTGCATAGGGTAGGTATCTTCTGAGAAAACGCATGAATATGTACATACATGTATCCCTCTGCACATCAAAGTTGGCATCACATGATCAAGTCAGTTCACCTTGAATTCTGTATGAAGTAGTACAAAACAGCAGAAGTGGTCTAAATAGCTGGCAGATTTCTCTTTCTTTTTTTTTTTTTTTTTTTTTCTCCCCCTGGAATTTCTCCTGATGATAAACCTTTAGATTTCAGTATTTCCATCCAATAATTCTTATCACCTTCTCAGGGGCTGATGTTAGCAACCCATTTCATTGGTAGTTTAGTTGCCAGGATCAAATTCAGTTGGCAAAATCCCAGACCTGCCTAATAAGCTGTCTACTTAAAATAATAAGCGAGTTAGTAGAGTAGTAAATAATATAAGTATTGAATATCGCTGTTATCAAACGTGTTGGATTTGCTTGTCACAAAATTATATGACCTCTCTCCTCAAAAAACTGTTTTTAATACTTTGAAGTAACATGCAGAGCTCTGGCACAGCTACCCTTACAGCAGAAGTAATCAAGGTTAGTAATCTTAGTTTGATATGCATGTAGAAAGTAATTTTCATGTTTTACTTGTAAGAGTGCCAAAGGACAGTAGGGTGCATTTGTAATTTTTGCCCAGTACTCACAGTCATTAGTTTTGCAGAGATCTGTCTGGATTTGTTAGCTGTGAAAACTACCTGCCAACTATTTTGCCGATTTCCTGGACATAACTACACCTGTGTTTCAGACAAGTTGCATTTATTTCCCCTCTAATTGTCTGAAATCTGTGCCTGTTTGAATTTTGGTCTATTTTAGAAAATAGTCTCAAGCCTGCATGCACAGGGTGCTGTTTGTTCATTCACTCCATTTCTTTGTATGTTTGAGAATATGGCTGATGAAAGATGGAAATACTACTTCTTTTATAAAGGGAAGTAGTAAATGTGGCATCTGAAAGGCATGGGGTAAGGCTCGTTTATGTCAAGCCATATCCGAAGATACAAGAAGCCTAAAGTCCTATTTTTCTTTTTATACACATTTATTTGATACAATATGTTTTCTCTCATTTTCATTGATTTCTTATTGCCCTCTATCGAGGCAGAGTGAGTTTGACATTAAAAGCAGGAAACACATTAACCTGGCTGTGAGCAGAACATGTTTATCCTCCTGCTTGGTGTTTAAACTTCTTCATGCTACTCCCAGTTCCCACAGAATGAAAAGTGGAGACTGTCCCTGTGGCTATATTCTATTCCTGTCTCTGTAACTCATACTTCCTATATGACATGTCACTTGCCCTTGTTTTTTGCCTCACTTTCCTTTACAGGAAAAAAATACTGGTTTAATATTTGACAGTCAAAACTCCCAGTGTACAAGAGGACAGGATCTCAAGTAGAGCTTAAGTTGTTGCAGCATTGGCACCTGTAAAATGTGATAAAGAATATGCTTCAGTAATCTGAAGTTACTCCATGGAGCGAATTTATCATTTCCATTATAAGCCCAAACCAGAGGTCATTTTTTAGGTTGCTAATTGTGTCTCCCTTGTCCCAAACCAAAGAAGTATGGAAAGGCACCAGGTACGGAAAAAATGGACAGAGCAGCCCTCCCGCCTGGGCATCCAGGACCGCCTTAGTATGAAGGAAGAGAACAGTGGCAGGGAGGAGAAAGCATGAGAACACAGTGGATGCCCCTGTCCTGCAGCTCCATAACATAAGTCCTCTTCAAGAAATTTGTCTAGCAGCCGTAGGAGAAGGCTGTGTGAATCCAGCTGAGCGACGTGTCAGTGTTGGTGGCTGGTGGCGGGGGATCGGTGGCGGGATGATTGGCCAGTGTGTGGGCAATGGCATGGGGTTTGCTGCTCACGTGACCCCAAGAGCCAATGGCTTCGGGAGCCGCCGTTGGAGGGTATTGTACAGAGTAGGCATATATCAAATTCCAAATTCCTTTGTGTCAGAGCTCAGGAGAGACAATAATGTGTTTACAAATGATTGCGACTCGCACAGTGAAGAGAAACCACTGTTCATGCCATATGTGTTCCACTGTGCTCAGAGCGAGCTTCTGAAAACCAGGTGGGGAATCCGACTCATAGATAGCTTAGAGGTTTCCTTGCTTTTATAAATGAATTTCTAAACTAACGTTGAGCTATCCCTGCTTCTAATGACCTCTGGCATTGACAACTTCTCCCTGCTTTCTGAAGTGGAGAGGATGGAAAAACTGAAAAGCCTGAGCTCTCATGCTGAAAGAACTGATAATGTGTATATTGACAAGGGCTCCAAAGGCAAGGGCTCCTTGTACAGTTGGAAATCAGACAGCCAGCAGGAATGTCTGCACTTAAAAGCATGCACACTTCTTGTGCATGGCTTCCCTGCAATCAGAACATCTGAGTCAACAGGTTTTCAGGACTGGAAACTCTGAGTGTTGTCTTAATTGTTTATACTGCTGCAGCAAACTTTTAAACAAAAATGCTTGGAGTTCCTTTGCATACTTTGCCTACCATATGCTGTACCAAACAAAACAATGACATTCTTTTAAAACCGTCTTGGCAACAGGAAAAATGCTTTGGCTAGACAGCATCATAAAAAGTTGCTGTTAGTTAGATGATAGACTTATTGCAAGTAACTGCTATTGATGCATGCATTAGCATACTCACATACACTAACAGATATATGTGCAGATGCATACACGTTGAATTAAAATGGGTTCTGGTCCTATTAATGTAGGAACAAGACAGCAAAGTACAACTTTAGAGCTGTTTCCTATGGGCAGTTTATGTGAGCCTTAAGACTTTACTTATTAAATATGTATGTTCTGAGCTCTTACTGCCTAAGAGTTAGGGGAAAAAGAACTGTGAAATAGTTCAAAATACACCCTACCAAGGTTTCATTTTTTGGCAGGAGTGTTTTAGGAGTAGAATCTTTTTTCCAGTATGCAGAAGTCTGCATTACAAATTGGATCAGCTACAGCAACTTGTCCCGTTCTATTGAAGTCATCTGACAGTCCCTGCAACTCTTTATTGCCGAAGATGCTGTGTTAAATTAAAAAAAAAAAAAAAAAAAAGGAAAAACCCACGAAAAAAGCCCTTTCACTTCTAAAATTTAAAGCTGCTTCATCTGATTTTGTAACTTCCACTATAATTTTTACATGAAAGGGTTGTTTCTGAAGTAGTTTGCAGTTTACTTTCTGTCTTGATAAACTCCCCAAAAGGCTACAGCCTTTTTTCTTTCACCATGAACTCTGCAATCCAGCCCTTTACTGCAAGTACTCTGGATTTACAGGCAGAGTTTTGAGGACCCTGCTGCAGCCTGACTTTATGTTCAAGACTGGTTAGAGAGCTTCCTCCCTGTGTGACTGACTGTGCTTAGCAAGTGTAATCTGTAGCCAAGACTAAGCCAGAAAAATCAAATTCCTTCAGAGTCCTACCCCCCCCCATCCCATTCCTCCCTCTCCCTTCCCCCAAGTCTCATCCTACAATCCTGCAGAAAACATTATTGCTGAGGAGAAGAAAATAAGTTAATTGCACTTTTGGCACAAAGGGTATTTTTCAGTATGGGCACAAAGGATATTTTACAGTTTTGTTTTTCAAGCACTCACCTGATTCTGCGAAAGTGATGATTTCTGAGGTTTGCTCCACAACTTCATTCATTTCGGCTCTTCTTCCAACATCATCCTCTATTTCCACATAGCCATCCTCTCCCACCTTTCCCACGTGGAGTTTTTTGATGGCATTTAAAAGTGCTGCCTTGGGCACTGGCTGGGTGATATTAGGTCTGTCCCTCAAGTGCAACATGTTCAGTATGTGCTTCTTTACTGCTTCCACCATCTCAGGCTGTGAGCTGGGCACATCCTTTGAGAGCGTGGCGAGGGCACATGATGGACAGTCAGTGACTGAACTGTGCCCCTCGGATCCTGGGGTTGGGGAACTCCTCACTATAATCCAGCAAAGCACCAACAGTAATCCTCTCTTCCAAAGCAAAGGCATCCTGGCAGCAAAAGTTGTTGTGATTCCCTTTTTAAAAGGCCCTGCTTTTCCTCCCCCTTCACGAACAGTTTTTTTGGGGGCTGGTTTAGTTTGTTTGTTTGTTTGTTTGTTTTTCCTTCTCTTCAGCAAATTCTCTGGAACAAGAACCAAAAGTTTTCTGTGAAGTTTTGTTTGCAGGTTCCCTCTCTGAATGCAATAAGTGCTGTAGATGTTTGTGGCTGTCAGGGAGAAGAGTTCTGACTCTGTCTCAGAGTAGGAGAGAGACACAGAGAGAGGGAGAGAGAGAGAGAGGACGGATTGGCCTAAAGTGAGTGAGTGAATGAGAGAGGGAGGGAGTTTTGTCTGTGAGTAAAGGCTATGATTAGGAAGGGGGAGGAACAGGCAGGCTGGCTTCCTTATGCTCATTGCTCCCCTAACACACACCTCTCTTCAAATATCACTACTCGTGGTTCCTTCCC